CATATCATCAATTCTACAACCAGTTTTGTCAGTTGAAATAAGGATGGAAGTCCTGTGAACTGTTCATAAAATTTCCTACATGATTTCAGGAGCATGACCACAGGAGCCTTCTACTAACAACCTAAGGAAACTCTAGATGCAGCTCGCTATCATGAATAAGAAGAAAACTCCCTGGTATGGCGATGTGAGTTGGTATTCGGATCTGCGTGCATAATAACCCAATAGACACTATAGCAACCGTCATCTTCCACATCGCAATATAGACAAAGTTACTTCTCAATCTGATACATCGAAATTCGGCGTCTTCGTCCTCGGAAGTCTAGGTCACAGCAGCAAAAGTGTCGGGCATATCAATGTATGAGCGGACCATACGTTGCTACGCGTAGGCATGGCGGGCCGATGCATCTTGACCCCATGCATTGCATACTACATTCTGCGTGGTGTGTACGCTGAGCGGGAAGCGCCTAGTCGATGGGGCGTGCATGCAGCAAAATGTCCGATCCGATGTCAGAGGTAGAACATGCGTCTAGCGGTCACACTGGAACGTTGTGCAACGTTGTGTACGATCGGCTGTTGGGTTTGACGTATGCGTGCAACACAGCATGGATGTGGAGGACGATAATGAACAACGTTTGAGGTTGAACATGTACTGCAGACGTCAATACGTCAGAAACGGCTCGAGGGATACTCTTGCATATCTTTGGAACTGGGGAGGGGGAGTGGGTTTGTGTAGCTGCACGTTCATCACAGAAGACATCATGAGTCAAGAAAAGTTGTTGTCGACTTGGGCATGGAGGCCCGCCGTTATTGTTCATTCCTCAGTCCACCGTTACATTCGGTGCACTGTTACTGTTCTTGCGCTGCGTTTGAAAACGCAGTCTATCTCATCCATGTCGCACTCTTACATAGGGTATCATCTTCGGTATTGACCATGGTTGAAGGGTCAAGTGATGATGTGCAAACCAACGCCTTTTGAAACCCCGCCGAGCCCCGGGCTCGATGCTATGCCGTTGAAGACAAAGAACTTTTCGAAGTGGTATCATAACGTCGTGTTGAAACTTCCCAAACGCTGTACAGTAAGAAATCTAGTAACGGTAGATGTCGCTCTTGAAAGGACCCTCAACAGGGAGACCAAGGTACTCGGCCTGGACATCGCTGAGCTTGGAAAGCTCAACGTTGACGTGTGCCAAGTGGAGAAGAGCAACTTGCTCGTCGAGAATCTTGGGCAGAACGTAGACGCCGACATCGAGCTTGCCGGTCTTGCCGAACTCGACGTACTTGTTGCCGAACTCCTCGTCAGAGGCCTTGTACAGCATGATCTGGGCAAGGACCTGGTTGGTGAAGGAGCAGGACATGACGAAGGAAGAGTGGCCAGTGGCGCATCCCAAGTTGACGAGACGGCCCTCAGCGAGGAGGATGATGTAGCGGCCGTTGTTCATCAGGTAGCGGTCGACTTGGGGCTTGATGCTGGTGACGGACTTGGCGTTCTTCTTGAGCCATGCAACGTCGATTTCAATATCGAAGTGACCGATGTTGCAGACGATGGCGTCGTTGGGCATAACCTCGAAGTGGGCGCCAGTCAGAATGTCACGGCAACCAGTGGTGGTGACGAAGATCTGACCCTGAGGAGCGGCCTTCTCCATGGTGGTGACCTGGAAGCCGGAAACGGCGGCCTGGAGGGCGTTGATGGGGTCAATCTCAGTGACGATGACACGGGCACCCATGCTGTGGAGAGCCTGGGCGCAACCCTTACCGACATCACCGAAGCCAGCGACGACGGCGACCTTGCCAGCAATCATGACGTCGGTGGCACGCTTGATACCGTCGACGAGAGACTCACGGCAACCGTACAAGTTGTCGAACTTGGACTTGGTGACGGAGTCGTTGACGTTGATGGCGGGGACGAGGAGACCCTTGCCCTTCAACATGCGGTAGAGGTGGTGGACACCGGTGGTGGTCTCCTCAGAGACACCGTAGCAGTCCTTGAGCATCTCAGGGTACTTCTTGTGGACGAGGGCAGTGAGGTCGCCACCGTCGTCGAGGATCAAGTTCAGGCTCTTGCCATCCTTGAAAGCAGTGAGTTGCTGCTCAAGGCACCACTCGTATTCCTCCTCAGTCTCGCCCTTCCATGCGAAGACGGGTACACCGGCGGCGGCAATGGCGGCGGCAGCGTGGTCCTGGGTGGAGAAGATGTTGCAGGATGTCCAGGTGAGCTCAGCACCGAGCGACTTGAGCGTCTCGATGAGGACGGCAGTCTGGATGGCTGCGACGGGTTAGCGGTGTGCAATCGCAGTGGAACGGGGGTGTGGCATACTCATGTGAAGACATCCGGCAATGCGGGCACCCTTCAATGGCTGGTCCTCAGCGTACTTGCGGCGAGTCTCCATCAGACCAGGCATCTCGTTCTCGGCGAGCTCAATCTCGCGGCGACCGAACGCCGCAAGACTGATGTCAGCAACCTTGAACTTGTGGGCGGGGGCAGACATTCTGGCGGTTTGTTGTGATGTATTGGGGGTATAGAGAAGGGAGAGGGAGTGTGAGGAGGATGAAGAAACAAACGTTCGAGGGAGAAAAGTGGGAGAGATAGCCCCGCGCTCTAGCAGTTGTTGACGCTAGTGGACCCTTAGACTTTGCTCCACATCGGCAGTTTACTGGACGAAGACAACTCACCGCCCGAGAACAATACTAGGACGCGTTGATGAGTCTATTGATGCGATTGGGGAAAAACATGCAGTAGACGTTGGTTTTAGTTGGTAGCATCCATAGCACATCCATAGATGCGCGTACACATGGTCCAGTTCATCCTGTCTTCAAACCTCACGCTGCGGGGCATGAAACGATACCCTGTTGAGCATTTGCGACGCGCCACCTTCTCGATACGAAATGCAGTAAGCTCCTTCGTAAGCACCGAATATCACCGAGTTGATCAACCACGTCCAAACGCTAAAAGTACAAAACTCCGCTCTTGTCGAGCTCAGCTCAGGTATAGTGAGGCACTTGGCCTTTATCGCCCTCGGATCCTGCCGCCAGCGGTGAGACGCCGTTATCAATCTTCTTAGGACCAGGCCTCTTAAAATGCGGCTTCAGTGGTTCCCAGCTTTCCGCATTGTAGCCCTCTTGTATCTTTTGGCACTTTGTGAGACCCCAATCCGTCACGCCAATCATAAGACAGCTCTCGAACATAAACGCCATGCTTCCCTCACCCACCTTGTTGGGTTGCAGATCGACATTAGATGCTTTCTCATGAGTCGCAGCATCAGGTCCATGTCCCGACATGACATTGTGAAGAGAAGCACCGGCGGGCTGGAAACCTCCACCAGTCTTCGCGTCGTACTGGCCACCAATAAGTCCCATGAACTCTGACATGGTGTTGCGGTGGTACCATGGTGGCCGGAATGTGCCCTCAGCAACCAACCACCGTGGCGGGAAGATGACAAAGTCGGCTACTGCTGTGCCAGGCCGGTCTGTTGGCGCAGTGAGAACGGTAAATATGGATGGGTCTGGGTGGTCAAACGAGATGGATCCTATGGTGTTGAAGCGCCCAAGATCGTATTTGTAAGGGTAGTAGAGTCCATGCCATGCGACCACGTCGAACGGCGTGTGTCTCTGCTTCGCGGCGTAGAGATGTCCGGCAAACTTGGCGAGGATGCTCCATTCCGTTTCAGTGTCTTCATCAAAGTCGGCTATGGGTGCTTGGAAGTCTCGCGCGTTGGCGAGGCAGTTGGAGCCGATAGGTCCCAGCTCAGGGAGTGTGAAGTGGCCTTGGTATAGCTCCAAGATGTAGCCTCGCACAGGACCTTCTGGCAACGTGACACGGTACCGAATGCCTCGCGGTATGACGCATATCTCGTTGGGACGTACGATAAGGCGACCCAACTCGGTTTGGATGTCAAGCACGCCATGTTGGGCCACAATCAAGAAGTCGCCATCAGCCGAGTAGAAGGCCTCATTGGCCTCCATGTCTTTCCCTGCCGCATAGATGAAGTATCCAACACCCGACTTCATTGTAGGGTCACCAGCACCAGCCACTAAATGTAGTGAGTGCACCCAATCTACCGTCTCATCTAGATCGAAAGGGTCCCATCGTAGCTGATTTGGAATGTAGTGTATCTTCTCCCAAGGTTTGTTCTCGGGGTTCGTGTTGAATGTTTTCGACTCGCGAGGTTCGAAGTTGCTGTGTCCACAGGAGGGTAGGATGCGGTAAAGCCATGTTTGCTGGTTTTCGTGACGCGGGGCTGTAAAGGCAGTGCCTGAGAGCTTCTCGGCATAGAGGCCATATGGAGGTTTTTGAGGAGAGTTTGCGCCAATTGGCAGCGCGCCCTCTACTGCTTCAGTCCTATATATTGTTAGTAGAGACTAATAGGGCAAGGTCATCTAGCCATACTCATGGTAGGAGTTGAAGCCATTCTGATATCGGTATCTCTCCTTAAAGGCGAACTGGGTAGACGGCATGGTGCTGTTTATTCACACAGGATCAGTCAACTTTGGGGAACTTTCTTCGCAGACTGTAGTAAACAACGATTCAGTACGCGCACCGAGGTGCTAGACGTGTAAATATCCTTCGCGGATGCTGCGGGCATGCAGGGTCGCAGTAGCCGTAGCGAGCTTTCGCTCGGCCATGGCGCAGGCGCGAAATCGCGAGATGCGGTAATGGGCGGCTTCGCATTCCGTCGTTTGTCGCGTCGCAAGAGCAAAGCGGAGAAGAGATGCGCCATCGAGAGCGCTCGTGTCGGCTTACCCCACAAGTGGAGAGCGGGTAGCCCCTGTATGTTGGCAAGTGACGGAATCTTCCCGCGCCCGCCTGCATCCTTCTTCCGTCACAAGCCGGGAATGCATCCCAAGCACCACATGGCCCTGAGAATTGCGACCATGGGGCCGACACCCCGATCCTGGGATATTCTTTAGTCTCTGTGAACCTTGGCCATCATATCAATTGTCAGGGCGAAACTATTGTATGTGAAGTTGTTGAGCATTTGCCGCTACTACAGCAGACATCCATCATGGCTTCACTGCGATCTTGGTTTAGCATACCTCGTGGATCGCACTTCTCACTAGCAAACATCCCCTTTGGTGTCATTTCAACAGCATCATCCAAGTCACCGCGGGTCGCAGTCGCCATTGGAGATCACGCTCTGGATCTCGAAGTCTTTGCCGCAAACAATGGCTTCTTAGGGCTCTCAACAATACAGCCGCATCAAGCTGTCTTCTCACAATCGTCCCTGAACGCTTTTGCAGCACTTGGTCGGCCAATTCACTCCGTGGTTCGGAAGTACATCCAAGGTGTCTTCTCTGTGGACACGACATACCCGGACGTCCTGAAGAATAATGTTGCACTTCAGAAGCAAGCCCTGATACCGCTAAAAGAAATCAAAGCACATCTGCCATTCAAGATTGGTGATTATACCGACTTTTTCGCTGGTATGAACCATGCTTACAACTGCGGCGTCATCTTCAGAGGTCCCCAGAATGCGCTGCAACCGAACTACAAGCATCTTCCAGTCGGTTACCACGGTCGAGCATCTTCAGTAGTTCCATCTGGAACTCCCATTCGGCGGCCCAATGGTCAGATACTGCTCGATCCTACTGCGGAGAAGAAGGTGCCTGCTTTTAGCCCGTGCAAGAAGCTAGACATCGAGCTAGAATTGGGAGCTTTTGTGTGTGGCTCCAATGAACAAGGAGTGCCAATACCAATTGAGAAAGCTGAGGAGAACTTGTTCGGTATCGTACTCATGAACGACTGGTCAGCGAGAGACATCCAAGCATGGGAATATGTGCCTCTAGGGCCCTTCAATGCGAAGAACTTCGGCACTACAATCAGCACTTGGGTTGTACTCGCGGACGCACTGGAACAGTTCAAAATAAAGGGCTTGGACAATGACTCGGAGGTGCTACCCTACTTGAAGGAGAAGAGCGAAAAGAGTGTATACGATATCAACCTCGAAGTTGATGTCAAGAGTATGTTCACATGCGTACCATCTTGAGTATCACACGCTAATCATCTTCAGCGGCATCTGGCAACACAACAACGATATCGAAAGTGAATGCACGAAATCTGTTGTGGTCGTTCCCACAGATGTTGACACATCATACGATCACGGGATGCCCTTTCCAACCGGGCGACTTGTTGGGCTCTGGTACCATCAGTGGTAATTCTCCAGCTGAGTATGGAAGTTTCCTGGAGCAGAGCAACAATGGTAAAGAGACTATCGCACTGGAAGGCGGTGAAAAGAGGACATTCTTGGAGGACGGGGATGAGATCACAATCCGAGGTGTATGTGGTTCGGATGAGGAGGCTTTGGTTGGCTTTGGAGAGTGTATTGGTCGCATTGAGCCTGCTTTGAAGCTAAACTTTGCTTGAGCGCCTCGGAATATGTGAATTCATAGTTTTGACCGTCAAGGTGCAGCATATAGAGTCCTCTAGCTGATCGATGCGATAGAACAGTACTACCGCTGTCCGATGCTAGGGCTTCACTACCAGGCTCTTTTTGAGTCAACTCCACATAATCGATGTTGGACTACTATGGCCTCTTAATTCCCGAACTTTCTGCGAACTGGACTAGCATTGTCGCATGTGCTGATCCCTCGATGTATCGTGCGAAGGAAAGATTCCGCTAACTACAGGCCTTTCACATCTCCACAACACAGCATACGTCACAGCATGATTCATATGCGCTGGAGGAACTTAAGCCTCCCCTGGTAGCATTTTGCTGTTTTAACATCTGAGGTACTCGGTATTCGCCATAATCTTAACATGCTCAACCTTTACAAGCCTCCGCGGACCCGAGGAGCGGAGACTGGAAAGTAGCTCTGGAAAAGTTTGCAATACCAACGCGCAAGTCTGAGGCTCACTCCGCTGCCTCGATAGTTGAACTTGGCTCAAAGCTGCTCCATCGTCCCACCGAAAGTTTGTTGTACCCATTATCCCGTCCTGAAGGGGTTAGCCTATCCATAACGCGTCCCGTCTCCGCACCGTCGCGCTAACAGCAACACCATCGTCCGCGGCATAATTCCGCTACAAACCACACAAGCTTCTGCGCACGATGACATCCGAGACGGCTGCCCCGCAGCGACGGAGCTACGTCGTTGAATCTAATGCTTGGATCGCTGATGGCCAGTCAAACGGAAGCTAATCATGCTGAGCCTGACCATGGGACGCCGCGTCAGGCTAGGGATTTCCTCTCAAGACAAAGCGCATGGCACTGGAGGTATCATGCTGCTATAAGTGTTACCGAAGACTTGAGATCCTTTCTGACTTACAGGTTTTCTTCTCTTACTTCTTTCGCGTCTTGTCATAGACGTTGAGCTTCTCCAACATCATGACTATCCCCATCTACATCGCTGGCGTTGCCGTCTTGGGGTTCTTCTTGTATAAATTGCTATATGGAACGGACACACCCCATATCGAGGGACTGCCAGAAGTCCCTGGTCTTCCTCTCTTCGGAAGCTTGTACGAACTCGGCACGAACCACGCGAAAGTTGCCCAAGGATGGGCGAAGAAGTACGGCCCCGTCTTCCAGGTGAGGATGGGAAATAGGGTAAGCCATAGTCTTTGCAGACAGAGAACACTCTGAAAGGATCGTTAGTGATAATAAAGTTATCTAGAGGATCGTATTTGCGAACTCCTTCGACTCCGTCCGCCATCTCTGGATCACAAACCAGTCCGCAATGATATCTCGACCCATGCTTCACACATTCCACAAGGTCGTGTCTTCCTCCCAGGGCTTTACCATTGGTACTTCGCCATGGGATGAATCATGCAAGAATCGTCGTAAGGCTGCTGCCACAGCTCTGAACCGCCCCGCCGTACAGTCCTACATGCCACTCATAGATCTCGAGTCTACCGTCTCTATCAAAGAACTGCTACACGACAGCAAGGGTGGAGAAATCGATATTGATCCGCGGGCATACTGGCAAAGATATGCTTTGAACACAAGTCTGACACTGAACTATGGATACCGGATAGATGGAAACAAGGACGCACCTCTGCTTCAAGAGATCGTAGATGTTGAGCGTGGTGTCGGAAACTTCCGGTCGACAAGCAACAACTGGCAAGACTATGTGCCACTTTTGAGACTGTTCCCCAGCCAGAGCAATGAAGCGATCAGCTTCCGAAAGAGGAGAGATGTGTACATGGATCGACTACTCAACACCCTGACAGAGAAGATCGAGAAGGGGACTGATAAGCCATGCATTACCGGCAATATCTTGAAAGACCCAGAAGCGAAGTTGAACAGAGGTACATCAAAAGCATCTCATTTTTGGTCTTGTTTATGCTAACACATAATAGCCGAGATCAAGTCTATCTGCTTGACCATGGTATCAGCAGGTCTCGACACCGTTCCAGGTAACCTCATCATGGGCATTGCATACCTCGCAACCCCGAAAGGTCAGAAGATCCAGCGGCGCGCATACGAAGAGATTATGAAAGTCTACCCCAACAACGACGCATGGGAACGCTGTCTCCACGAGGAGAAGATCCCATATATCACTGCGCTATATAAGGAAATTTTGCGATACTGGACCGTCATTCCTATCTGTTTACCTAGAGTTTCAATCAAGGATATCGAATGGAACGGCGTCAACATACCAGCGGGAACAACATTCTATATGAACGCATACGCCGCCGATTATGACGCGGAACACTTCAAGAATCCACAGGAGTTTGACCCGGAGCGCTATTTGGACGTTCCAGATGGCGCGGGAACACCACACTACGGATATGGCGCTGGCTCGCGTATGTGCGTCGGTTCGCATCTCGCCAACCGCGAACTCTTCACTGCGTTCGTAAGGCTGATCTCGGCTTTCGAATTCACGCCCCCAGTGGACCCGCGGGACGAGCCTGTCATGGACTGCTTGGAGGCAAATGCCATCCCCACCAGCCTGACAATGGAGCCGAAATATTTCAAGGTCGGGTTCAAGCCAAGGAACAGGAAACTGCTGGATCAATGGATCAAGGAGAGTGAAGAGCGGACAAAGGAATTGATGTAGATGCGTTTTGAACACAATGATTGCTGTGTAACTGAAAACTTCTACAGTAATCTTGTTCGAATTCGAATCCGAGAGAGAGAGAGAGAGAGAGAGAGAGAGAGAGAGAGAGAGAGAGAGAGAGCTTTTGACAGGGAAGGCACTGATCGCACTTAGATCAGGGGCTTGCATGAATCCACTTTCATGGGCGGCAACATGCCCAACTTGGCCATATCCTGATATGTTTCAAAGATGCTCTCCATCGTATCTACAAAGCCATTGAATCCGAATCTACGCACCTTGTTCCCTGATAGCGTGCCAAAGTAAGCAAAATTGAAGTCGGCCATCACCAACATTTGTTTGTCGGTTTCAGGCACATTCATTGTGAGCTGCCCATCAGACTGCTTCATCATCTCTTCCCAGTCTTTTCCGACTGCCGTCTCCTCAGCCCACCTGCATAGCGGATGCGCCAGCTTCAATTCGAGTGGAGGGCCGTAGCCCAACGGGCAGTCCTTACCGCCAGCAAGATATTTGCTCTCGTACTTTGACTCATCGCTGTCTGGACCAACAACATCAGTGCCGAACCAGCGCCCGAGTTCGTTCCAGAAACGGTCCCAGTTAAAGACCTCACCGTCTTGGGCGTTGAAACGTTGGCATTTGGCTGTATCCTCGAGGACAGCCCACTCACTCAAGTAACCGGTCAGGCGAGCAGTGGAGTGAGTGTACTCTGACTCCCAGCAATGAAAGTCGGCAGGGTATTGGAGAGGCTGTTTTCTGTGTGCTTGGACTGCGGCGTAAACACCGTACGCGAGAAAAGTGTTCATGGCTGCGGTTTGTACTGCGCCGACGACACATGCCGGCATGACGATGTTCCAGTCTGTCTCAGGGTGCTCCTCACAGTACTTGAACAGAAGATCTTCTTGATGGTAGTAGAAGTTCGGGCTGAGGTGCTTGGGCTGAGGATCAGATTCGACGAGTGGCTGGCGCACACGGCCAATGTGTACGCCGTAGTTCTTGCCTCCCGTCTGAAGGAGGATACGTTTAGGTTTGAGGTCAGCTTTTGGTAGAGAGGCAAGGAAATTCCTGAAGAGTGGGACGTTGGCTTCGACCAAGGCTTCTGCTGAGCTGGGATCCATGTCACTTTTTCCATCTCCAGGGGGAAGGTAAGTATAATAGAAGACGTAGTCTGCTTCGACACCTGCGTCTTTTAACGTTTTGGCGATGTCTTCGCCTTTGGAGCTGAGGTCGACAGAGACATGCTGGATCCGGGCGCGCTGATAGTCGGTGAAGAATGCAAGAAGGTCTTTGGAGAATGGCTTTCGGGAAAGCGCGTAGATCTTAGACCAGCGATCAGGAGTATCGAGAAGGGAGCGGATAGTGTTGAATCCTGAGATGCCAGTGGCTCCGCATACAACGGCCTTCAGACCCTTCGCGCTTGCATCAAATGTGGGCAGGTTGCGGTAGATGCCTGATGTACGGAACGGTTGATTCAAGGAGCTAGGCATGATCGTGATAGACTGATGAGATGTTCAGATGATGGATTGCCGTTGAAGTGTTTGTCTTTGCTCTTCCTCAAGCTGGGCCTCTCTTTCCTTTTATGTTGGAGTCGAGATCAAGACTAGACGCTCGAAGCCTAGTCCACCTTTGAGACATCGTAAAGATGTAACTTCAGTAACACCGAAGCTTAACTCGATATCTCGCGCTATGCGACAATGTAGTCATCCATTAGGCGATGTGTCTCGGTGATGAACCCACGAACTGAACCCACGCTCCACGTTGCGTCACAACGTGGGGCCAGTTCTCCATTATTCTTGCTTCAGCAAACCCTCTGCCAAGCTGTAGAGAAGTCCTAGTGTATCTGGAAAAAAGAGGCTCAAGACCGTTAGTTCCCGGCCGCCACGCACGTCAACACCCAGGTGCATGTCTTTTGTTGTTACAGATCATAGAATCTAGCCTTGTCTCCAAGGCCCCAGTTGAAATCAAGTCCACTGGTGTTACTCATCGTGTGCTAAGACCCTAGGACGCTTAGGTGGCACTTCCAAAATCGACATCACTCTATGCATAACCTGCTGCGTTTGGGCTTGCCAAGATGCTACGGTCGTCCTTGTTGAAAGTAGACACTGCATTCTATCAAAAGAAAGTACCCTAGACCATACCAGATCGATCTGAAAGTGCATCAGCCTATACTAAGTGGATCCCGGAGCGGGTATCGGTCGCCGGGGAGGACCCCGAAATGCAAAGATTAGCTTCTTTCAATTCTCTCATCTTCTCTTCACGCCCCAGGTCCTTCGTTGTGTTTGTGCTGTGTCCTTTTTACGTCCTTTCGAGGAGATTTGAGGTGATGTTCGGGGTCGGTCGATCTACAAGCCGATGACGTGACTATCCTTGGGTCTACCTAGCTAGGATCACTAGTAAATTCTCGTTTCGTATCCACGTCATCTGCTTTCCTTTCCCATACTGCAGGATATTCGCCAATGTTATTGTCTTACGCTTCTTGATTTGCAGTGTTTGAGTTGTGATGGCTCCCTCATCTCTTGGCTTGAGGCATTTGAAATGGGACTGATCTTCCAAAGGTTTCCTCTCGCCCTAGCTGCATGTGTACATTTATCGAAATTTTCAGGAAGGAATATACTCCTTGATGCAGTCATCAATGAAGCTCGGTTGTGGGCTGTTCCCAACCACATTGTTCCTCGCAATCCAAGCACGATGATCCCCGACCCAAAGTACAATACGACATTGGAGAGCCAAGATTCCGTCCACTGTCGGCTATATGTCTGTTAGGCTGACAAGAATCTTCTTAATTGGCAAATATTGATACGTAACTACCTCGTGGCATAAGAATGGAGTAGAATTTGGCGCGCATCTTCGCACTGTGCTAGGTAGCATGAATTGACATTTACAATCTCAAAACATAGTGTGGTGTAGAAAGCCTCTCTGAGATTTTTCAAATAACGGTAATTGTTTCTATTGGGGTATCCTGGGTCCAGAATGGTTTATCGATGCTTCGCGTTGTATTCTCAAACCAGCCGATGCGACGGAATACGCGAATGTTTTGTTGAGTTTGTTGACGAAGAACGTAGCCGAACGGAGCCCCATGTTTGTTGCGAGCCATGTCTAAGAACCATATACGTTGACCGGTTTGAACGCTGCCTGGTACGTCGTTAGGCATCGAAGTTTTAGCTGAGGAAGGCAATATCTCATCTCCGTCTAGGTAGATCTTGGCTAAAGATACCTCGCGCGCGTCGGTAGAGTTGATGTGGAAATACTCCAGTATTGATTTTTCATCTAGTGAGCGTAAAGGTCCGTTTATGACCAAATGTCCACCAGAGACGGCCCCAAACAGATTGCTTGGGTCCACTGGAAGTACTTCGCATTGTATGGCTTCTGCTACTAGATCCTCTTCCTCAAACGGTCCGGAAAAGGCAACGGCTCCCTCGACAGAAGCCCATGACCATGATGGTGCACGATATGTTGTTGGTCGTTTAGCATGATGAAAATCCTCAGCAGCCGCATCCTGTAACCACATCAACTCAAAATGGAGCGAAGCTTTCCACAAGCCGGCTAAATACCTGTCTCCAGTGATGAGATGCATTTGCTGGGCAACGCCAGATATTGCAGGAAGCTTATCGCTTTCTTCGGTGATCTTCCGTCTGCTGAGATCCATAACGGCGTCTGTCCATGTGTAGTGTAAGAACATGGCTTGTGGAGATTTTTTAACCGTCGAGGCTGTCAAGGGAGAGAAGATGTACGACTCTAATCTGTTGATGCCCATGTCGTATACACTTCTAGGATTCCCACCGTCGGTATATCTTGCAGTTTGACACTCCCACGCCAACTGATAAGACCCGAATGACAGCACGCGTGGAGAAAGCAGACGCTCTTGGAGAGCCCAAGCTCTCTGATTGAGTGGCTCCTGATCTACACGACGCCAAAATTGCCAGTGTAGCGATACCTGACCGAAGCTGCCATCATCACAACTCCAAGGAAGATCCTCGACGATTATCTCACGTTCCGGTCGGACTCTTTTCGAGAGAAATCCGTCAGTACATCGCGATGTATTTGTCGCTGCTATGGTTGCAAATGCATTCTGGTAGATGCTTGCCATCCTCGCAATTTCTCGATGCTTATCTTCAACGCTATCTTGTACAATGCACAGCGAATCGATCCACAGGTACTTGATTCCCAGCTGTCGCGAGAATCTGATGGCATCCTGAATTGTCTGCGGTAAGTCTGTGATTCGAATACCGGCTTTGTGGCTTTCTATATTCCCAGTCAACGTCCGTATTGGTTGTGGACCACCCCAACTATAGCTTAGAGCGCAGTAATGATGCTGCTCGTTGCGAGGAACATGCAGTCGGACTTTTTCGTTACTAATATCCAAAACTCTTGTTGGCAACTGTGGGACCCTGAGCTCGGGACAATGTTCGTGAAGCTTGCACTGCTCGATCCATGATTTAGCTTGCTCGGCACTCGAATCGACGTTGTAATTAACTGGAGACCATTTGATATCTGTTGCCGCAGGATCTTCTGAGTATCGTGGCAATGTCAGTTGTAACAAAAGACTATATATAGGAGTTTGTGGGCAGTACGAACCACGATGAGCTAAAATGGACCACTCAGTGTCCAACAATGGCAAATCCTCGCCATCGCATTTGATACGGATCTGCAGAAGATCTACGGAGCGCCAGGTGTCCAATTCGTTCTTGAACTTCAAGTACCGGACATTGATGACGACCTTGGCGTCTGGGCTGATCGTGCTTGAGCGGTGCTTGAGTCGGTTGATCAGGTAGCTACACATGCGACATTTGGCCGATGCTGCAAGCAAGTCTTTCGGATGAAGAAGCGATGTAAGACCTTCCTTACTCCTAGACATATCAAGATTTGCTCTGCTTGATCCAAATCCACATACACCCCAACAGACTGAGCACGCTTTGTGTATCCCGGGTTCCACGATGTCCATCAGGATCAGCTGGATATTGTTCAGTACTGTCCGGGCCTTGTTATAAGAACCGAAGCAGACTTGTCTTTTTCGGGGTCTGAAGATTGAGTGAGAGCTGTATATAGAAATATGTCGTCCAAGAGAAAAGTTGCAGAAGCAGTGATGTGTATGATAACGGGTGGGGCAGACAGCACAGCAAAGTAATCCCGCCCCCACAACAGTCAGTAAGCGGCAGAGATGGAATTCAAACATCAAAGGAGAATCAGTATATATGGCTCACGGTTCTTCCATTTGTATGCGACGTTGTTGATGGAAACTTTGTACAACCACTTCAAAATCTTACCTAGTTATCTGCGCATTTTCTCAATGGTTCTTCTTTGCTCTTTTGTCTGTATACTCGAGACTTCCAAAGCTTCACAAAAGCTTATCGCAATGGCTATCTTCATCGTAAGTTCCCATAGGAATAAGAGCTCGTTTTTAGGTGCATCCATCCAGAGAGTCGCCACTTCCGCATCCAGGGAGCAGTGTCATCACAAGCTGTAGCCCGTGTCCTAGTAAGGAATGAGCCTCCGTGCTCGTCTGCTCACTTAACCACTCACTCACTTACTTCAAAGACTTGACCTCACCAGACAAGCAAAACCACTCAAGGTCGTGACAGAAACTTCCTTCATTCTCCACCTTCACCAATCCAGGACACCTTGATAATTGTCAGACGCCTGCATAAGCAAAATGTCTCCATACTTCGACAGCTACAACACCTCAATCCTGGCCATTCCAGCCTACGTCATCCGTAAGTACAGTCTCTCCTATAAGATGTCGAGCGCAATTTGTCGTTTAATCTAGCTCGCTCATGCCCAGTCACATTCTTGCCTCACGTCCTCGCTATCAATGTTGCTATGCTGGGCAACTTGCTCGCCTGGGACAATCGCAATCCGCGTTCTAGCGACCTGAAAGCTCAGCTCAAGCAGCGCCTACCAGCTGTAACCTATGCCAAGCACGAGCGTATGGAGGCCTGTCATGCCAACAGGATGGAGGTGAGGACCTGCAAAGCCCTTGCTCATTTGGCTGTCGAACTGATAAGGACAGAACCTCCCTCTCTTCATCGGAGCAGTCGTCCTAGGAAACATGGCTGGACTGGCCCAGAGCGATCTTGCTGAGTTTGGCGCTTGGTGCTTAGCTGTCAGGATTGCATACACAGTTGCCTACATCACGACTTCGACTCAAGCGCCTACACTCATTCGCAGTAGTCTTTGGATCGCAGGTGTCTCGCTGTGCTTCCGCACTATCATTCGGGCTGCAGGAGCCATGGCTGCAGAGGCCTAGATCGGCGAACGATGTTCGGCTGCATCGAGATACTGAAGCATCAGACTAGATTGATGATCAGAACATAGCGCAGATAGGAGCAAGAAGGACATGGGAAGACTATCTAAGGTGACAACAATGTCAATAATGTCTGCCTTACAGTAGCCATGGTGTCTACTCGGTGATGTGGTGTTGTCCTCTGAGAGATACGGGAGCCTAATATAGGGGAATGCAATGACCTGGAGGATGCTAGTACTTACTGAGAGGTATGCAACTTGGTTCGGGTTGAGCCGTCCTGTTGCCTCGCGCTTTTCGAAAAGCGCAATGCGAACGGCACGGTAGTAGGCGCATTGATCAAGACAAGTCCCCAAAGAGTAGCACGAACTACACATGGACTTGATCGGACGTCGATATACAGCAGTCGCCCAGTCAGTAGTGCGGATAGCTGTGGGTCCTAGAGCTCACGCAATCCTGGGGCAGCTGAGCCGATCGCCCAACCGAACATTTATGGGTGCCTTGGGGTTCCACTTTCAGCCTTCAGGAGAGCCAAAACGTGTCAAGTTCTTAGTAGCGATCATAAGAAGCGCTCCAAGTAAAGGAGCAGCAGGAAGCAAGAAGTCCCTCACCGCAACTCCTTCAACAAAACGACGATAAGCGATCGCCGCCATTGTCACGTGTCAGTGGCACTTGCCAGCTTACGAACAGTGCCCAGACTTCGCCGCGCTTTCCACCACATCTCTTCAACGCAGCCCTTCCTGTGCATCGTTTAGAGTACATCACATCCACCCGCCCCATCCCCGAATACCACCGACTCTCTTGAACCTGTCCGTAAGTCAATCGCTGCTGCATTGTTTTTTCTGCACTTGCTTTGCCCAGCCCATAGCGGGCGCCTGGCCAGCTCTCTCTGGTGGCCTCGAGTCGTCTCCGCAACGGGCGCTCAATACGCCCGCGCCGGCCATGCGACTGCCGTCATGCTGCTCAATACATGCCGATAAGGCCACGATGCTCTCCCCAACACTCTTCTAACAAGTAGCGTCGCAGGTTCGAGAGTCTATACACCGCCTTCCCACTCGACCTCACACTACCACACACACCCACCGCAATCATGGGTCTCACATTTTCGAAGCTCTTCGACAAGCTATGGGGAAAGAAGGAGATGCGCATTCTCATGGTCGGTCTTGACGCTGCCGGAAAGACCACGATTCTCTACAAGCTCAAGCTCGGTGAAATCGTCACCACCATCCCTACCATCGGTACGTCGCCATCTACACGACAAGACCCAACAGGGACAATGCGCTGATTCTTCGACTTCTAGGTTTCAACGTCGAGACTGTCGAGTACAAGAACATCCAGTTCACCGTGTGGGATGTCGGTGGTCAGGACAAGATCCGTCCTCTGTGGAGGCATTACTTCCAGAACACCCAGGGTATCATCTTCGTCGTCGACAGCAACGATCGCGACCGTGTTGTTGAGGCGCGTGAGGAGCTCCAGCGCATGCTGAACGAGGACGAGCTGCGGGACGCTCTCCTCCTTGTCTTTGCCAACAAGCAGGATTTGCCCGTAAGTTGCAACGACAGCGAACAGACATGTGCAAACGACTGATGATGCGATACTAGAACGCCATGAACGCCGCTGAGATCACTGACAAGCTTGGTCTTCACAGCCTCCGACAACGTGCCTGGGTGAGTTTCGAGTCACTCCTACTTCCAAAGCGTCTCCACTAACTCCCTGCAGTACATCCAGTCGACTTGCGCTACCTCCGGAGACGGTCTCTACGAGGGTCTCGAGTGGTTGAGCAACTCCCTCCGCAAGGCCGGACACAACTAAGTTCGGCGGGCGCGAACCGTAATGTAGCGAGTCACGAAAATGCCAACCGTCTGCTAGCACAGACCCTCTTATAACGAACGCCCGCCCCATCGTTGTGGCAGAGCCCAGCCACGACGCATCTCTACAAAACCACGGACCCTGAAATGTATTTGCATCGGTGTCAAATGTCAGATCGGATGGTGGAGCGGGGAGACACATGGTTTCTCTTCTCTTTTTCACCATTTGGAGTTTGTGTGAAGTACTATGCCATTTCGTTTCTGGGATCGTTGGGAAATCAGTTCTCTGGTTACTTTACGTGGTACTATCAAATTTGAGTCTCTTCTTACTATTCACCGCTTTGATTGCATGTGTGTAGAGTGATTGCAGTTTGCTTCAAGATATTCATTGCTTCTTTCACATGTAGGACTACATTGCGCAAATCGTAATACATGCCAGAACGCCAGTCATCCCCATCCAGACCCTCACGCTACCCATGCAAGGCGAGAAATATTGAAAGCTTGCTGATGGGTACCCCATGTCAAATGGGGCCCATGTTCGTTACTGAATTGGAATACTTTGCCCATGTTTAAGACGCGGGTGCAGCCTGCTGCCCATGTGAGCTCTTCGGCGGTACGTTCTCCTTGGCTGCCGTGATTGGTGGGAGTAGACCCTTCTCAGCCCAGAGGTCGACCAGCGGCTGCATGGGCTCGATTTCCTTGTCGCCGATCAAGTTGAAGAGCTTGCCGACGTTGATGAAGTGAATGAAGCACGTGTTTAGCTCCTTGTACGCGCTCACGTTCCAGAAGGGATCTAGCCAGTGGCCGTGGTAAATGTGTGCATAGCACCGCATCATCTGGCGGTAGATACTCTTGATGTCGCCTTCAAAAGTCTCGGGAAAACCAGATGACTTGCCGAGCCACTCACGCCCGGCGAGTTGGGACAATGGAGCATTGGAATTGCTAGGTGGGAGAGGCTGTGGGGTTGATGTGGGCGTCATGGAACCAGAAGCGTACGTCGATGCTCCGATGGAAATGGCTGTGGTGTCTGTGGGGAAGATGTTTGGGTCGTTGATCTTACCTACAATCCACTTTTGTACGAGGTTGATGTACTGGATTGCAGGGATCTTGATGGGCTTCTTGTTGTTGTCCAGCCAGGTGTAAGTATGGCCGCTGGCAGACATTGTAGGACATGTGTCTGGGTTGCAGACAGGCTTGCCTGTCCTGTCGTCTACTACCTTGATGATCTCAATCATCTGCTCCAGTAGCCGGTACTGCTCAACAACTGGTCACATACTTAGCGATATCGGGATATTGGGAAAATCAAATCATACCCTGATGTGCGAGCCATTCACCCTCTTCGACAAGCTTCGGCTTTGCAGCCAAAGTCATAAAGTTACCCTTGACAATCAAGTTGGAGTACTCCTCGCGGAAGAAGAAAGGCGGTCTGCGGGAGCCAGATGGCACGGACCCATCCGACGGAGCACCTTGGCTTTCGAACGACATGGCAGACGACAAAGCTGGAGAATGCGGCATAGGCGGTTGGCCGGGAGGTTGTTGAGAAGTTGGTGATGCCGAGTATGGTGTTGTTGGTGATGCAGAGCCGCCTTTGCCCTGCTGCTGCTGTTGGCCCTTGTTGGATCGACCAGCCAATCCTTGGCGACTATCGGTGAAGTTGTTAGAAAGAGGAAAAGACAACTTAGGCCTCGGACGACGCTTGTTATAACACGATAGGACGGCAATGTGACGCCGAAATAAGGTGCATATCAAAAAGTGAAATCGTGAGACGACATGCAGCAAATGGCCTGAAACATTCAGGGTGTGTACTGGGGGTGGGAAGCGCGAGCATTTGAGGAAGGGGAGCATGTGCCAAGCAACTTACACGTTTGCGAAGAAAGAGGCCATGATTTGCGGATTCTGGCAATCTAGTGCGGGGGGTACGGGGCGGATACGTCCAATGCACCTAGAGAGGCCGGCTTATGAAGGTATGCAAGAGGATTGAGGGGGAGGATGTTGGTGATACGTCTCGAGCGGGCACGCTTTTTGGGCCCACTCTCCTAAGGGCTGCATCGAGAAGGGGCGGCGGGCTAGGACCGTTTGGGATAGCGCGGTTCTCATCTTGTGGTGATCGGACTTTGTTCACTTGAGCTACCAGCTGCTGCGCGTAACCTTTACCGCAACTATCACGTCAATTCCATTCGCAAATCGGGCACTGCGGTCGCGTCGCTACATCTCGACTTTTCCAAACACGGCACCGACAAAAAGCGCAAATCCAAGCCACCAACCGCGACCATGTCCGACGCGGGCCACGACCCTACGCTCTCCGACGACGACGTCAATGGACAGGCAGCGCCTGCTGAGAATGCCGACGAGGGCACTCCGCTGAACACTGTCGAAGAAAACGGTCTCGAGGATGATGAAGACGACCTGTTTGGTGACGGCGACGACGGCGACGCAGCTGAAGACGCGCCAGCGTACGTCGCGAACAAATCCAGTACCAGTACCAGACTGACATATCCAGCTCGCCCCGAAAACTCGACGATGCAGAGCTCGATTCAGGCGACGATGAGGGACGGACAGATCCCGTCAGGGCACCCGAGGCCGTAGAGGAGGTCGAGCAGCAGACATTCGCATACATGGACGCGGACCTGGCGCGGCATCCCGTTCCTGAACCCACAGACAACGAGCTCTACCTCCTCAAAGTCCCACGCTTCCTGTCCTTCGAGGACAAGGCATTCGATCACAAGACCTTCCAGCCACCCTCCACAGACCATCACTCCAAGGTCGCCGCGTCCGAACACTTCTCAGCATACGACACCGCCATGACCACAGTCCGATGGCGACGCTCACCCTCAAACAACGCTCTTCTACAGTCCAACGCTCGCATTCTTAGATGGTCGGACGGTTCCCTGACCCTCCAGCTTGCAACCGACCCGACGGTCCAGTACGACATCGACGCGAATACCCTTGCTCCACCACAAGTGAACCCTAAAATCCCCACCCCAACGGCTGTCAGAGACGAGAAGAATGGTAAGACAAGCTCCAAGAAGGAGAGCTACACATACCTTGTTGCGCCGTACGAGGAAGCAAACGTCATGCGCGTCACGAACAAGCTTACAGCATCTCTCAACGTCGTCCCTACATCAAACACGAAAGACGCTGCGCTGGAGAAACTGCAAAACGATCTTGCCAAGGTTGCAGCAAAGGGCCGAGACGATGCCGACCAAGCTATATCCTTCATCGACGTAAACGAAGACCCCGAGCTCCGTCGACAACGTGAAGAAGCCACATTCAAGGAGAAGCAGAGACAGCTGCGCGCTCGCGAAAAGCATGAGGAGCGTCAGAGAGAACGCGCGAACCGTACCATGGGTCGCAGCGGCGGTCGTGCGGCAGGAGGAGGCCTCGATATCGATGGACTGGAAGACCGCGCAACTCGTAAACAAGGCAAGAAGAGAGGCGGTCTACAGTACGACCTGAGTGACGATGAAGATCTCGGTGGTCCAAGGAGGAACAGAGAGGACAGCTACGAATCAGAGGACGGTTTTGTCGTTAACAGTGACGAGGAACCAGAGATTGTCAGTGACGATGATGATCCAGATGAAGGCATGGCCCCGAGTCCAAAGCGTGCACGGGGTGGTGTTGCGGCAGACGATGACGACGACGATGAGGTTGTCGTTAGCCGGACGAAGCGGAGACGTGTCGTTGACGACGACGATGATGATGAGTAAGCTCTTCAAAGAGGATTTCGTTTGCGTAAAAAGCGTTTCTATATTCTCAGCTGCTAAAACGAGAGCTCGGATCTAGCAACAAATGCTAGAGGAGTGGAATATGGCAGATATCTTGACGGCACGGTCTGTGCGATGTACATTTCAGGATCCCTTGGAAATCCGTATACTTTGAATATGGGTCATCAGCATAGCCAGGAGTTTGGACGCATCTATGCATTACACCTATTAGTTATACTATTGATACATTACACGGAGCATGGTGTCAGTTCATGTTGAGGTTTTATGTCTGAACAAGACCAGCGAAATACTGTGCGATATAACTTGTCAGTTCCGTTTGTACTTCTATAGGCCACCACATGCGATATTCACTAGTCTGGTATACTAAAGAAGTACAGGGTTATGGATTCTGGTAAGGCCTCATACTCCCTGGGATATCCGCTTATATCAGATATCCGCTTGCCTCTTCTATGCTAGTGCGCTGCATGCTCGATTCGTGTACATGTATGCTCCAAATGCGTGTGTTGAGTCACTCTAACTCACGCATATTCATGTAGCATTCCGGACAAACTTTCTGCCACAGTCACTCAGAATAGGTACTCGAATAGTCATTCGACATGTCCACTCAAGAACCTCTCCGTCTAGGATGGATAGGCCTCGGATCGATGGGCCTGGCCATGGCAACAAACATCCAGAAACACCTTAAAGAACACAGTCTACCGTTGTTGAAGTACTGGAACCGTACAATCTCAAGAGGTGATAGTTTGAAAGATATCGGAGGCACGCCATGCCCCTCAATTGCAGACCTGGCTCAAAACTGTGATGTGATATTCATCTCAGTACGTACCTCCGTGCGATAATCATTATGAAAGATCCACCTTTAATGATTGACAGGTCAGCGATGATACAGTCCTCCGATCTGTCACAGCGACCATCCTAAGCAGCGGCTCCATAACCTCCAAAACTTTTGTCGACACAACAACAGTCCACCCTACCACCACATCAACTATCACCAACAACTTCACCTCCGCGGGCGCCTTCTACATCGCCACCCCCGTTTTCGGCGCCACGCCCCTCGCCGTCGCTGGCCGTCTGCTGGTTGCCGTCGCTGGCCCTCCTTCTGCTATCGAACTTGTTCTCCCTTTTCTCGAAAATGTTATCGCGCGCACTGTTATCAGAGTTGGTTCCGAGCCCTCCCAAGCCCTTCTGCTGAAAACGACAAGCAACTTCATTACTGCGGGTCTCATGATGCTCCTCAGTGAGGCGCATGTAGTAGCTGAGAAAACGGGGCTGCCAGCATCTGTTCTTGAGTCTCTGGTTGAAGAGAACTTTGGAGCCTACGCACATGGTGTTTCGAAACGTTTGACTAGTGGGAACTATCTACCTGCTCCTGGCCAGGCACCTTCTTCAGGGTTGGAGCTTGGAATCAAGGATGTCGGCCATGGAGTTAGTCTTGCGAAACAAGCGGGTATGACGTTGGGTATTGGAGAAATGTATCTTGGGGCAGCGGAGGAGGCGAAGGCCTATGGAGATGAGATGGGGAGAAGATGTGATAGCAGTGCTGTTTTTGGAATTGTGAGGAATAGAGCTGGCTTGGATTTTGAGTCAGACCGTGTTAAAGAACGAGATACGGAGAGGTAGGGCGAGGAGATGAAGTAATAATTAACCTAGCAGGCAAATAGTACTCATAATACTTAGGGAACAGATGGCGGCGAAGTCGTACGCGAAGAGAATAGAGTAAGTAATTCCCTTGAGTCCCAATGTTTCACAGATTTCCCGACGATGTTCCCGACCATAAATTGCTTCCACGCTCTTCTCAATGTAGCGTCGGAAGGCTGGCAAGGCGTACGCAAGGTCGTCATTGCAGAAGTAGAGGCAGAATGAGAAGCTGTGGAAAAGAGATAGACAGCTTATTTCGGGCCGGGTCATTGGTGATATACAGTGATTAAAGCAGTAATTTTGACAAATGATTGAGATTCTTTTGCATTCAGGCGATCCTTTTTAGTCTATGCAAGATTGAGTGAACAAAACTCGTCTATATCCAGATGATCTAACTCCCCAACTACGCACCTCTCTCCGCAGCTTCTCGTTCTGCCTCTACTTCTGCAATGACGACCTTGCGTACGCCTTGCCAGCCTTCCGACTTCTGGACATGGCTGACTCGCTTTGGCAAGTCCTCCAGACCCTTGAACTCAGCTGGTAGTACCTTGTCTTGGAAGTACTCCTTCTGCTCTGGAAGTGCAAGCTCTACGGCGTTCGCAAACTTGGCCGGGTGCGCTGTTGCGAGTGCAATGTGGTGTGTGGATGGTGGCTTAGATACCTGAGCCGAGCGTAGTGCCGCATGGATGCCGATGGCGGAGTGTGGGTCCAGGACATAGCTCTTTGACGCCTCTGCGTTGAAGATGTCTTTGATGGTTTGGATGGTCTCTTCGTCGCTGACACGATACGAAGCGAAGTCGGACTGTGCTGCTTCGAGGATCTGCTTGTCGACCGCGAAGCCACCATTTGTCTTCAAGTCGTTGAGCCAATTCCGTACATGGTCGCCAGCTTGGCTCCTTCGTTGCGATACCGCATCGGAGTTTGTGCTGTATACGTCGTACGAGAGGAACCAAAGCAACCGCTCGAAGTTGGATGAGACGAGGATGTCCATAGCCGGGCTCAGTGTCTCTTTGACTCCGCTCTCATGTGCCTTGGCGCCATCTTCAGGAATGCCGCCCTCGGCCTTCTTTCCGTGCACAGGCTTCTTTTCGTACTTGCCGGTCTCCCAGAAGCGGTGCAAGATGTCGTTCTCGTTTGTAGCAATGACGAGCTTCTCGGCTGGCAGGCCCATGCGCTTCGCGAAGAAGCCAGCAAGGATGTCGCCAAAGTTGCCCGTGGGCACGACGAAGCGGACGGCGGACGCTGGGAGGAAGGAAGGTTGCTTGATGAGGTCGAAGTAGGAGTAGAAGAAGTAGGTGATCTGCGCGAGGATACGAGCCCAGTTGATTGAGTTGACGGCGGCGAGGCGGTGCGTCTTGTTGATCTCGGGGTCTGCGAACAGGGCCTTGACAAAGTCCTAAGACGCGTTAGTTCTGTATTGCGGATCCGCTGAGGGTGCATACCTGGCAGTCGTCGAATGTGCCGTCTACAGCCAGGTTGTGCACGTTGGCGTCCATGACGGTCGTCATCTGCGCTTCCTGGATCGGGCTGACCTTGCCATGCGGGTGCATGATGAAGACAGACACATCCTTCTTTCCGCGCAGGCCGTAGATGGCTGCGGATCCGGTATCACCACTTGTCGCGCCGATGACGGTCAGATGTTCCCGGTCGCGGCCGGTCTTGCCCTGGTTCTTGCGGACGAGGAAGTACTCGAAGAGGTTGCCCAGGAATTGCAGCGCGACATCCTTGAAGGCGAATGTAGGTCCGTGGAACAGCTCGAGCAGATGCAGGTTCTTCTCCTTGTCGAGTGTGACGGTGGGCACGACGTCCTTGGCGCGGAATGTCGAGTAGCTGCGGTGGATGATGTCCTTGAGGTCTGCAGACGGGATCTCGGACGGGGAGATATAGAGGGAGAAGATCTCGAAAGCGAGGTCTGCGAAGGAGAGGTCCTTCCACTTGGACGCCCAGTCATCGGGCAGCGTGGGGATTTCCTCGGGGATGAAGAGGCCGCCGTCGGAGGCGAGACCCTTGAGGACAACTTCCTCGAAGGAGAACTATGCGTGGTTAACATATGACTGAGCGCAATCCCCGCCGGTCCTTCTCACGTCATAAGATCCTCCTCGGGTACTCAGGTACCGCTGCGATGCTGTGTGAGAGGCCATAATGTGCAGAGTCAATCAATAGTCCAGCGCGACACAAAATGAAAAGCGAGAAAAGATGACAGTCGCTGTGTACCTATCAAGGGCAATGTAAAGTAACAGTCCCCGTGGGGAAAAATGTTGTTGTAGCTCCGGGATCGCAGTTGAGTCAAGGGACTACATCTCGCCCTGTCAAATTCCAGACCTTATGCACGCGTGGACTAGACTGCCACATGATGATAATTGGTGTCTCAGTAACTTGACTGACAATCGCCTACGAACGGAGCCGCACAGCGAAAGCTTCATGCTTCATCCAAGGCAACTGAGTTTGTCCTGCTGCCCCGCCATGCGCACATGTCCTGCCCCGCCGTCCGCTGTGTCTGCATCAATGGCGATGTCGGCACCAACCCACGACAACATTGGTGCATACTCGCCCATACAAATCAGCTGGTTTCTCACGAGCTGCTGCGAACACCTTAGGTAGAGACAAGCATTTCCCATATCCTTGTTTTTGTAGACCAGGACACTGCGCATAGAATTACGGTATGCTTCGACGATAACAACCCAAAAAGACCATATACTTTCTCGTTATGAATAACTCGTGCAGTAAGACGGAACCCGGTCATACCTAGATCTGCCTGCAATACAGCTTGTTGGAAATTCGTCTACACTAGAAGAGATTGAAGTGCCTACCGACCGACTGATCAAACTACATCATTGCTATACACATACTCTCCATACATATGCAAGTTTTCTCAGAATGCAGCCTAGATCACTTCACGATAAATCTGCGTTGTGAAACACCAGGTTTGAAATCTCAAGTACCTCCGGTCTCTACAGCGATACGAATGGACCGTAAAATCTTGCAACAAGACTCTCTTACCATAACCTATCATTCGCATCGCCGCAGCGCTAGAAAAGCTGCACAATCAAATTGCGTCCCAGAAAGTTTGAAGACGTGCTTCCTTCGGTATCAGAGCTGATATATACTGCCATGATATCCCACGAGTACGTGCCGCACTGGATGCATACTTCAGCTTGACACCTCACGATGTCCGCATTCATGGCAGAGGCCGCAGTACTTCAAGTATTTTACGAATCATGCTCGTAAGAGCAAAGCGCTGCGAGACTACTACCAACGCTCCGCTATCAGAAAGAAAAATCTGTCTCGATGCGCGGTTCGCAAAAGAGTCCTGTTCATCTTGAAGTGGAGTTTGATCAAGGCTAGACGAACCGCAAGGACCATACAATGGATGTCGGCGAAGTTCATGATGTTCGTTGACCAGGCTACCGTGAAAAGATCCGACCTGTAGTGCCGTGTTTGCTGCCTACGAAGCTGCTTATTTCTCCTCTTTTGTAGGCCATGATGTAACCTGGAGGTACACAGTGTGTTCCGCGTTGAAAGACGAGCTTGACCTGACTTGATGTATACTTTTGAGTAGATGTTGATTGTCAGGTATGGCTTGGAGAGAAGGACCCCGGAACTTCTTGTAACCTCGAAGAGGCCCGTTCCTTGGGAAAGATGCACAAAACCAGAATGCACCCTGGAGGTAGTCGCGGCGTTTCCTATTTGGGAAGACCATGACAAGTGATAGTGTATACCTTCACGCTACAGTTTGCTCCTGTGAACGGTGAGCATCATCGTACCATGTGTTGCGCACGGCCAGTCGGCAGCACGCCGGCGATTCAGTGGGGCCGGCAGAACTTCGGCAGCAAATTCTCGTCTACGAGTGCAAAAGTTGCGCTTTTTTGTCGGTGCGCGCTGGCCCGTGCGCAACTTCCAGTGCATACTTAAACTCGTCGTTCCAGAGCTCTTACTCGGCAGTTGACCAGTAATTCACCCCTCACCCCCTACATTGGGAATTCACCACTAACAGCAGTGTAGTACTTCATAGAATCATTTCTAATAGTATGCATCCTCTTCTGAGTTACTCTAAGTAGCCACAGAATCTCCATCCTGGTTGATGACTATCAGCCTCGGTGTCCTAGAGTGAGGCCTTATTTACGATTGCTTCGGCGATCGTGGCGATGACCTTGTGCTGACCAGCTGTGGACTTCGGTCACACTGGAAGGCAGGACGTTGACGGCAATCTGACAGGCCTTCTTTTTTCATTGATCTTTTCTGGCTTGCCAGTTGGTCGAGGAAGAATATTCTCCACAACTCCGCAATCCCAATCCGTCATCTGGACTCCGCATCCTCAATACCCACATGAACTTTATCTGGTACATGCGCTTGTTGATAGTGGCAGCAATGCATGGAAATCTATCAATCTATGGGAATCGCATCTCCCCAAGCACTTCTCAGCACCAGCCATACTTCTCGTTCGCGATCCAGTCAATTTTGTCAGCCACTGGTCCATCGTGTTTAGGGTACCACTGCAAGCACGCGATGCTCTCCGTGTCCCTATGAACTACCTCTGCAGCTGGGTCCAGCGTCTTCGCAGCTGCTAGCGCCGCTGGTGAGGGTGCCCACATCTCTACATGCTCCATCTTCCATTTCTGTGCCTCTTGCTGCGCCATGGCTAATAGTGCTGCAATAGCAGCATCGTGACCCTGGTTCACGGATGTGCCATTCGTACTACCCGAAGAACCCTCCCAACTGCCATCCTCAATGACCAGGCGTAAGATATGCAGCGTGTTGCCCTTGGCTTCAGCAGGATTTCCGTTGTACCACATTCTTGTCCAGTAACACCAAATGCGTTTGCCCTTCTCCGTACCGACAACAGCGCCTTTAATTTCTGGTTGCTTGCCATGCAGCTCGTTACCTACAAACTCTTCACGCGCGTGGTGCCACCGAATAGTCTCGATATTGGGTATCAGAGCGACTGCAGTGTTGCTGTCCTTCGGTCGCGACTCTAGATTCCGGCGGACAGAGGCCATGTCGATCCTGCACAGCTCCTCCAGATCCTCTGCGTACAAAGGACGGGCAGTGGGTAAGCTGCTCGTGTCCTGAGAAGTGGTCCCAGGAATGGAGACATGTGATGAAGTAAAAGGCTCCCAGCCAAAGGTATTGTAGAATTTCTGTCTTTGTTAGAAGTGTGTCGTCGTAGGGTGTCCAAGTTGCCCACCTTCCCGATATCAGAATATAGGATCGAGAACAGACACTCTTGTCCATCTTCTGTCTGATAAGTTTTCAACGCCTTCCCAAGCTCCGTCATCATTCTTTGCGCATATCCCCGCTTGCGCAGATGGGTTGCACAGAAAACACTCCCAATACCGTGACATATGACCTCCTTCAGTTCTCCGTTTTGCCACACGAGTGCCTTCTTCCGGTATGTTTCGCAGCTCGCCAACGGCAGTCGAGTGCCCGAATCTGGATCCAAAGGGTTATTTGGTAAAGATGTGTCAACCAAGATCCAGTACGAGATGCCGCCATCGCGCGTGAGAGCCTGTTGTGAAAGAGTAGCCTCACGTCGGAGGTAGGCGGGAAGGGAGAGTGCACCGCGCCATTCACTCCCATTGAGTTTGAATTGTATCTGCTTTTCGGCTTCGGTAGGGTGGACAAGTGCTAGGGAAGGAGCGTCGCCCTTGTTGAGGTTCTCGAGAGCAGGTGTGATAGCCATGTTGTAGGCGGATGTATATCTAGGTTTGGTACGATGGGTTGGCTTGACCCTTTGCGAAGCTAGCTAAGCTCTTATATCTACTGTTCGACAATACTTGTCGTAGGGCGTGACAGGCGTGGATTCGGTCCTGCACAGATGCAGTCTTCCAGATCAAGAGGCTGTAACAACCCAGCAAGGGAAGGAATAGCGGGTCCAGCTACGTCGGCACGGATCTAGGATTCGGATAGCTAAGGAATAAAAGGAAGTTGGTACATGTAGCTCTTTGTTTAGTCCAGGACGCCCCGCGTTTTGACGACTCCATTCCGCCTTGATCTCCGTGTGATCTTATAGCTGACCCCATATCTCCACAAAGGTGTTCCGAGCATACATCATGTTGCTCGCGGCCCGAGGTGTGCCGTAGCAAAGCGAGAGTTCGATGTCACAGCTTACGACGGGTCATGTGCGGGTGTCCGATTCGTGAGTAGCTCGTGTCTTGCATCGGGCCAGGCATCGGAGCAGGAATTTGCTTGTCATATACTCACACGCTGCGCACCCATTGGCAGCGTCTCCGATACCTATTACAGACATTGCTTCTTCTCAGCCTTGTGCGACGTGCGTGCAGGCTCGTGACAAAATGGTTAGCGGCAGTTGGGCTAGCGGGACCAGCCCACTGCACGATCATCTGGGCGAGACGCCCATCTCCCGCGCTCCAGAGCGGCGTAGTATCCTTTCACAACAACTAGTCATCTCTGTTTTGCTGAATACTGGCGGCACTGTAATGGCTGTACATCAATACTTGGGTATGCGCTGTTGTGGCACATAGCTACTGCCTCTGCTCTCACCCTACTGGCGCCGTTGCCCGTTTCGCTCGCTGTTCCGCGATAGCTCTTCGATCTCTCGCCAGCCTGCGCCCTGAAACCCTTACGCCGCTGCAAGCTGCGGTGCAAAACGCCTGCTCTTCTCTTGATCTCGCTTTGCTTCTTCTTCGTCCTCCTTCAGTTAGTGCCCATCAGTCGGTGAGAGGCCTCCGGCAACTGGTGGGGTGAGTGACAAGGCTACATTCAAGTAAATTGAGCTGGTCTGAATCACCTAAACACTACACACGTTTGCGTCACCATCGCCCTCTCACTCTTTCCCCTGATTTCGACTAGATACAATTAATTTTTAATATTTGGTCTTCTACTTCCAAGGTCCTCAAGAACTGCCCAATCGCTTCGATAACAACCTTCCACAGGCGAGACTACTATCAATCAGCCTTACAACCGCTGTTTTGGAAAAACCCCAATGGATCCGACTGACACTCGTCGCGATCATGAAGTGGTTGACTTGCTCTCTGATAGTGAGACGGAGGATGAAAACTTCACGAGACGCGAATTGGAAGATTTCGACGCACGATCTGCATCGGAGTTTGCTCACGACTACCCTGGAATGGATGACCCTGTCGCAGATTTTCGCACTCAACTCCGGGAACACGACCACCAATTCATCGATTTGACCAAAATCCCAGACGTTGATGTTCCGCCATCTGACGCTGTTGTGGTAGAAGAACAAGAGTCACAGCCTGAGGGGCGAGCTCCTGAATGGGGAGATGAAGCTACAGTCGTCACCGAAGCGGCCTGCTTGCAGATGGTATTAAGCGTGTTGCCAGACATCTCGGTCGATTATGTTCTCAAGTTGATTCAAGAAAAAACGACAGACACCACGCGAACAACAGCACAGTGCGAGCACTTCCTGACCGAGCTATTAGAGGGCGATCCATATCCCAAAGAGTCGGATGACGCGAACAACAAGAAAAGGAAGAGAGACGATGACGCTGAGAGTGAACTGAGCACCTACGAGAAAGCCGAGCGTGACCCCGAGATCGGTGGTTACGAACATGACGCGTAAGTATTCACTTCTTCACAAATTCTGTGGCGCAATGTTTGTATTCTGCTGGCTTCGCAAATCGATACAGTATTAGATTGAGACACATTGCCATTTTCTGCTCGTATTGAAGGGAGTATTCTGAGGTTTTGCCACGCCTCGAACCATGGAACGATCTCCGTGCTCGCAATGCTGGCATCGTCACGCCTTCTTCGTACCTATCTACCCCTCTCGGCCAGACTTCTGACATTAATTTTCGCAGAACAGAGTTGCTAAAGGACGAGTTTCTCACTGTACCTGTACGGCATATTACGAGAGTTCTCAAGGAAGAAAAGACTCTTTACAAAGCCTACGGCGTTCTTGAACAACAAGTGCGCGATTACGCGCACGTTGCTAAGACGTTTTCGCTAATCAACAAGCCCCGTAACAAGCGCGGTGTTCAACTCCAGTTGATTGAGCAAGGTAGCCAGATACCTAAGGAGTTGCACGCGGCGATAAAGAAGCGCGAAGTCGAAGCGAGTAAGTCGCATCTCGTAGTAGTCTATCTTATGAACCAAATTAATGGTCAACAGCGAAACGCCAGAAGGTCAAAGACGCTAAGTTGGCTGAAGAAGCCAACTTGAAACACGCGGAAATGAACAATGAGATGGGCGAATGTGTATGCTGCTTTGACGACGTTCCTCTGAACCGCATGATTAGCTGCAACGGAGACATTATCCACTTCTATTGCGTAAACTGTCCTCGTCAGCAGATTGAGACGCAGATGGGTCAGTCTCGCTGCAGACCCCAGTGTTTCGGAGTCGATGATTGCAACGGAACATTTACGCGGCGACAATTGCAACAAGTCTTGAGCGACACGACTTTTGAGCGACTAGAGCACATGCAACAGAGAGAAGACTTGGAAGCGGCTGGTCTGGACTTTCTCTCCGAATGCCCGTTCTGCGACTTCAGAATGGAGTGCCTGCCAGTCGAGGTCGACAAGGAGTTTCGATGCGAAAATCTCAAGTGTGGCAAGACAAGCTGCCGACTTTGTGAGAAAGAGTCGCACATCCCACTCAGCTGTGAAGAATCCAAGAAAGACGGCCAGATAACCCTACGACACATCGTCGAAGAAGCCATGTCAGCAGCCCTGATACGACATTGCAACAAGTGTAAGCATCCATTCATCAAAGAACTTGGCTGCAACAAGATGACATGTACGCACTGTAGGAACGTGCAGTGGTGAGTTCCAACATGAAAGTATCATCACTGAAGCTAATTGCAATGCAGCTACGTTTGCTCCAAAAATGTGACCGACTATAACCACTTTGGCGATGCTGTGGGAGGCAAATGTCCTCTACACGAGAATATCGAAGACCGCCATGAACAGGAGGTTAAGAGGGCCGCTGATGAGGCCATGGCCAAAGTTCGGGCTGACAACCCAGACCTTTCAGACGCGGATCTGATGGTGCAGGTATCAGATCGTGTCAAGCAAGCGGAGGATGCGCGCAAAGGTCGAGCAACGGCAGAAGCACAAGCATTCCCTTACCACATGGTTGGAGAGCAGCTCAGACATGCGCCCGTAGGGCCTCCCTTGCCTGCGATACCGGCCTTTGGCCGCCCTCCACCAGTAAATTTGGCCCCAGACCGGTATGTGCACCCTCACCCAGGAGTTATTCCTGTACCCGCCTTTGGATACCGGGTCCAACCGATCCCCTTGTATCAACCCTTCTATCCCGTCCAACATATTGGTTACTATGGTGCTGTTCCACCAAAACAGCCATATCAGCAGTTTATACAACACCCCATGGTTGCGCCATGCCTACGCTGTCATTTGTATCATTTGCCTAACCAATATTGCTAGACCTCGGCCGTTAGACGCCCTTTGGAATATGCTTCCACCCAACCCGCTCCGGAATCTCGTCAATGCGATCGGACCAGACGATGGACGAGCTCAACAAGCACATCGTCCCGCTGCTGTTGGAGCTGTCAATCGTTTCAACCTTGACCGAGTCCAACTTGGTCATCACCACGATCACCGCGACATGTTTCGTCGACCTCAAGAGGCCAACCACCAGGCCCCACAGGTCGACCGGGAAGCTAGAGTGGCTGCTGCCGGGCTTCGGCTTCAAGAGGCCAACCGTGATTATCTTGAGTTTCGACAACAGCGGCGAGACATGAGGCGACTGCAGAGGCTTGAAGCCGATGGCGCTCAGGTGGAAGGACTGCTGCAGCGAGATGCTGAGGCGTATGTTGAAGCTCGTCGAAATGTGGTGGCTGAGAGGCGCCGAGATCGTGCCCCAGCGGTAGTGCCAGCGCTCAGGGCCAGAAGACCGCATGCCCCTTGAGGACGGTAGCGGTTCGTTTCCTTCGCTTTACAACGTTCTTGATACTACATAGCATGGATCCGGAAGTTGTGCTATGCATGATGCGTATATGCACCGGCTGATTCGTAAAAAATGAGGAACATTCGATACCTTTTAGAACATCCAAGTAGGGCAAGGATGGCCACAGGCTTATAACTTATCGATTCATCTAATTGAAAATACTAGAGAAACTTGTCTTTGAACTACCTTCGTCTTTGCTCTCGAATTTGGCTTTGCCTTCTTCTATCCAATTCTCAAAGCTGAAGACACCTGCGTGCACACTGCGTATTGGTATGACACTGGCGCCACCCAGATCCCTTCCTTCCCTTTCTCTCAGTATCCCTAGCTCAAAAGCTTCCTCGTCGAGCTCCTCTCTAAACAAGGCCTGCTTCGCTTTGCCTCTCCCCTTCTTCTGCAAACTAGGTTGGACCGGCACCCATGTCTCTGTGTGTCCCATGGGCGGGTCGATTTCAGGCTCATCCTTGAGTTCCATACTGATGTTGAACGAGCAGTTTGGTGGTAATGGATGGAGTCGCGGAGCACGCACCGCCAGCGCAATCAAGGCAGCGCGGTACTGTTCGCTGATGTCGGCATGGATGTCGACATCGAGCGGCTTTGTCTTCTTTCTCTTGATAGTGCCATCATCATTGTATTCGACCTCGGGCACCGGTGCCTCATCTTCCCACTCAATGTCTATGTTGCGGTCTCCCTTGGCTACGACCGGGAAAGCGCTTACGTCGAACATGTAGCGCTCCATTATCTTGCCGCTGCCTGACCCTTCGCCCTCATCCGGGTAGCTGAAGATGACGATGC